TCTGGGAATGCCTTGATACGCTGTCATTTCTCCATGAACTTTACCGGGAGGCGCACCAAGCGTCCACTCCGATTGTCAACGGGGAAATATTCTCAGCCTTCGGTCAGGCAAGCATATCAAGACGCACTACATACCGAACTTTCGCTGTATTGTTCTAATGACACTGAGTTTCAGTGGAATAGGATCTCGACTGCCATGCACGACGCAGGAGCATCTGCTTGTGGCATCATCAATGGTCAGCGCGCCAGTCACGGGATATCCGAGAAGTCGGTGCACCTGTTGGAATCTAGAAGAAACCTCCCGACCAGGTCTGAGCGCAGTGTGACCAGACAGGGTATTAGGCGCGAACTAAAGCGGAGCCTTTGTGCTGACAAGGAAGCAAGGTGGAACAGTCGGGCCCAAGAAATGGAGAAGGCAGGACCGGTAGGCAATTACCACAAGCTCTTCCAGCTGATCCGCACCACTGGTCCCAGTAAACCAGGCGTCGGCGAGACAATCAGAGACAGCGCGGATGCACTGATACACAATAAGGAGGGCCGTGTGGCTTGTTGCGCGTAACACTTTCAAGATCAGTTTAGCTGGCCTCCTGCTGCCGGACCTCATTCTACTCAGGTGATGCAGGACGAGCCATGGACGGTTAGTTAAGAGCCGTCGGAGGTCGAGATCCGAAACTCGATCACAGCACTCAATCGTTTTCGTGCCGCTGGCTCGGATTCCGTCCCACGTGCACTATTTAAGGATGACGTTAAGATCCTCTATAGAGCACTGACCTACCTATTCGAACGTATCCGGAATGAAGAGTATCCCTGCTAATTGAACCGAATCGATTATAGTGGCAATATACAAGAAAGGCAGTCGCACAGACTGTTCTAACCACATTGGTATTAGCCTAACGCCAGTTGTGACAAAATTACTGGCCTCGATTCTCGTTCGTCGCCTCACTGTGGAATGGGAATCTCCGATTATGGAAGAGCAGTCCGGTTTCCGCCCAGGACGTGGCTGTATAGACCATATATTCACTTTGCGGCAGGTGCTAGAGCAGCGCCACACATACTGCATACCGACAATAGCTGTGTACTTTGATTTCAAAAGTGTATTCGATTCAGTCGATCGATCGATTCTGTTCGAAATACTTGCGCGGAAAGGTGTTCCCACAAAATATGTGAGCATCCTTCGTGCTATATACTCGAACACTACAAGCCGCGTCAGGGTCTACGGTGACCTATCGGATAGCTTTCCGACCACAACTGGCGTTCGTCAGGGTTATCCGATTTCCTCATTTTTGTTCAATTTCGTCGTGGATTCTATCATGGAGTGTGCCCTTGCGGAATCTCACGATGTAGGTGTTGAAGTGCTGCCTGGCGAAAGATTAGTTGATCTAGATTATGCGGACTATATTGTCATGCTTTTCGGCGATGTTGCGGTGGCACAATCAACCCTGAATAGCCTGTCTAGAGTAGTCTCATTATTTGGTATGCACTTTGCACCTTCAAAATGCAAAGTGTTGCTGCAGGGCCACCCGCCACTTTATGACTGCTTGACAATGCTAACGAGGAACTCGAGGTGGTTGATCAACTCACTTATCTTGGCAGCTGCATAAGCAACGATGGGCGCATAGAAATTGACGTCAGCCCACGCATTGCAAAGGCCAGAGCTGCCATCTTGAACCTGCGGCATCTTTGGCGACAGAAGGGAGTTTCCCTCCTTCTGAAGGGCCGGGTATCCAAGACCTCAATGAGGACCATTCTGCTCTATGGTAGTGAAACTGCGGTCTGAAGCTCGGAGGCGTCTTCAAGTCTTTGATGATCGTTGTCTGCGAGGCGTTGCTGGTGTCGGATGTCACCAGCGTGTCCGCAACGATAATGTGCGTAGGCAAGTGCTCGGTATTGGTTATCATGCTTGCTCGTTAGAACAACAGATTGCACTGAATAAGTTGCGTTGGCTCGGGCTCGTGACACCTTTGCCTGGTCACCGCTTACCTAGGAGGCATTTGTTTAGTCTGCTAGATGCAGGGTGACGCAAAGCTCTAGGTGGATAGAATTTTACTTGGCATCGGGAAATGCAATCACTGAGGACCAAACTGTTTGCCGTTGGTCCGTCTTACCTTCCGGGCTGGAGTCCACGTGACTCCCATTGTGCTTAGATCGAGACGTTACAGGACGTGGCTTGCAATCGATACCAGTGGCGCGTTTGCTGCCGTCTCCTAATCGCATTACCTGTTTAAAGTGTGTTTGGTGCTGAGTTATCTGCGGGGTAATGGCTGGTTATGACGCGGGGCAGTGAAAGCCGCAAGGAAGCTGTCTCGCCGCTGCCGCGTTATCTTTGCACGATAGCCATCTGGTTGTGACGGTATATTGTCTACACAAAGTGTAGGCGCCTTGACCCTGAATGTTTGGTTAGGGCATTAAGGTTTATGGGTAAGTCCCCCTTCTCTCTCTTTTATGATTCTTTATTTCATAGATTATCATGGTTGTACGGCAGCGAAGCATCAGTTCAAATGGTTGATGTACTGCTGTTGTTGATGTTTTTCATGACCTTGGTTCAACCAAGGACAGTTCGCCACGTTTTCAGTTTGAAGTTCACTGTGTAGGAGGACCTCATGAACCAATGAACTCGTATCCCATGTACCTGGTTTACATCTCGTAAGACAGTGTTCCCTGTTGACGTCTTGCGACTTCGGTTTTGTGTCGAGCGGTTGGGCTTTGGAGGTCGGCACGTTCGCGATACATACAAGACCAAAACAATTACTCTCCTACCTGTTTTATCAAAAGTGATGAAATCGTTAATCGCAGAGGAACTGACGCGATATGTTGAAAGTCTGAATATATTTTATAATGTCCAATCTGGTTTCAGACGCAGAAGATTTTGCCTCACCAATCTACTGTAGACCCAGGACTCATGGTCCAGGGCGGCTGAGAAAGGAGCCCCCATAGACGTTGTTTATTCAGTCTGTTTAAGGCATTCGACAGGGCCAATCACTAAGTTCTCCTTTAAAAGCTTGCTGCCTAGAGTATCAACGGCCCCGTACTCACCTTTTTGGAAGGTTCCTTATACGACATTACAATCAATGTACGAACAGCCGACATTCACTCCGAAGGCCTGTGCTTCTCTAGTGGTGTACCACGAGGGTCCGTCCTCGGCCCGCTATTGTTGTTAGTCTACATAAATGATCTACTAGAAAATACCCCGTGGTAGAGCTGTACGCTGTCGGTCGCGTCCCCAGGTTGCGGATTGGGGAATGTCTTCCCTGTGGAGGTAACTGCAAATAAGTCTCGTTTGTCTTGCAGGCGAGATGAATAAGCAGTCGCGGACAATCAGCGGCAGCGTCTCAGAGCGTGGGGAGTTCTGAGCTGATCACTTGGGTCTCCATCAAATACCACAAGAGCTCGTACGGCGCTATGTCAAAGCCAATGTGACCGGCTATAGGGTCACTGACCACTCACTTCTGTAACCAGAAATGAGTATAACGGAGAGGGAATGAACAACCTCACTGATCACCGGCTTCCCTGTGGACTGCTACTGAACACAAAGAATGCGAAGGAGCCACCCGGTTGTCAACGGTCTTCGTTAATCGCCCCGCTGCCTTGCGGTTTAGGTCTTAAGACCAAAAGCTCGGGGTGGGGTCCCTTAAGTTAACTCTCTTCCTCGGCCTGGACAACCGGGAAGATCTCTGCCCACACAACACAACCTTCCAAACATTTCAAATGTTTTTACTGACCACCAGTTTTTCGCACCTTTTTGTTATTGTTAACTATGTGTTGTGACACTACCAATAGTACATTCGGCAAATGTTGAATAATAATAATAATAACAATAATAAATACAAAAAATATTCTGTCTCAGATCCGAAGATTTGCAGACGATGCTAATGTATAGAGAACAACTGGTTCAGCATCCGATTGTGCCTATCTCCAGAACGAACTGGATCGGACTAATGAGTGGGCGGAAAGGAACCAGCACCAATGAACCCCGCAAAGTACCACCTGACGGTGCTCAGTAGGTTCATCAACAAATATCATTTGGGGCAACACGTCCCGCAACATGTGACTAATGGGAGCGACTAAGACATCACCGTGCAAGGAAATCTTGGCAATTGGCTCCACTGTTCGAAACCGGCAAATGTGACTAACATGAACCTAAGGCTTTTGAGGCGAGCTCTCGGCAACTTTGGGCAACAACTAGTACCACTGCTGGTCAACACATATTTTGTCCTCATGTTGAATTTGCGGTTCAGACCTGGTGTCCATGGTTACAAGATATTCGTCTTTTGGAGGAACCCCAAAAAGGAGACATCAAGGCAACACGCGGACTATCCGGTCTCAGTTAAGAACTGCGTCTTCATTTGCTCATTGTGTTCTCCTCAGAATACCCATCTTATGCACACATACCGGATACTAACTGAGAGCCATCACCCATGTAATTCACACTTGACCTTAGCCCCATACAAACAAAGTAAGGACCATCACCTGAAATTAGTAACGCAACAGTCCCGTTTGGACTGTGGAATATGCCCCCACTGGAATGCACTAAGAACACATGTGGTGAACGCACCAGACATCACGACATTAAAATGACTGTTAGACTTTCGTCTTGTTGATAAACACTGCACAACAGTGGGCTAAAGTGCAAGGTCTAGACTACTGATAATTCACGTTCCACGTTGGAACATTTTAATTGTAATTTACTTTTACATATCCATTCTGTGGGTCTTGTAAAATTATTTATTATATCCCATCACACTTGAAAGTCAGATGAGATACTAGTCCGACTTGGCAGGTGCCCGCGAAGCGGGTATATTGACAAGCAATGATAAATAATAACCTCAACAAAACGATGACGAGCAGGAAGATTGTTGAGAACAGACTGATCTTCACAAACTCCGATCCGTTTTGAGCCTTGAACTGTATTCTATATTGGATGGCTTTTTACAAACTGATGGGAAAGCTATGAGTCATGCTGTTCGCTGGTAAGTGGAATCATTGCCCCATTTGTAAACTCACAGTTCCGTGCAAATGTGTCCGTAAGTCGCAGAGTTTTTCAAAAAATTCATGCGAATAGTTAGCTGCGCCTTCTGCCGTGCCCAATTCGTATACTTTGGCCACCGTTAACTTCAAAAATTTGTGCATTTCGGTGAGGCGATCTGCGGCCGTGCGGAAGTGCTCCCACGATGCAAGGTCATTTCTGTTATCTAGCGGAGCAGTAAAACTAAAAGTATTACAAGTTCAAATACCTTTGTATAACTGGATGATCGATTCCACCACACTATGGTAAAGTTCCCGCACCGCCTCCGAACGAATTACCAACTCAAACTGTCGTCGCTTGGTGGTCAGTAATTTTCTTCTGAAAACTTCATCTTGCACACAGTTCCACTCTGTTAAATTATACCATCAGGTTATGTAAACACATCAACCACCATCGGACATCGATCAGAGGGAAGACGCAGCAAATGCTTAGTGCAAACACGTAAGTAATAATTCCAGTATCTCCTTATTGTCAGGAGCTAGGTCTCAGATTGATCTCTGAAATAAAGAAAAAGATTCTGTACTATGTTGAAATAACACCACGCTATAATAAGTTTGAAAAATAGAACTGCGTAGATGCGCATCAAAGCAAATGAGACAATTCAAAGTTGACTGGGTGAGTGCTTAGGGATGGTACAGTTTAGAAGTCGATCAAATAACCATGTGTTCAATTAGACAGGGCATAATAGTTGCACAGAATGCATTGGGCTAGTATGAGCAGAATCGAATGGCGCAACGAGGAACAACCGATTGATAATTCGCGTAAGTAAAAACAAAAGGAAATAATCAAGGAAATGAAGGAGAACATCGTTAAAAGGATTTTGGAAATTGATAAAATTCTAACATGTCAAGAAGTAAAACAGCAATTAGACAAACAGCCAACAAACTCGCAAAAAGGGCAAAAAATCAGTAAGATAGAGTACAAAAAAATCAAGATCAGAAAGCCCATCCACAGATAATGTATTCAAAAAAAACCTGTATCGAATAACAAATCAAGATATCAAAAAGCACTACCAGTAGAAATTTAAAAAGATGAAAAATCATACGTACTTTGCTTTCAGCCTTATATTTGTGCGCAAAGTTCAAGGAAAATCCAGCATATCACTCTGCAACTTTGTAGGATGTCCTTTGAGTCAATCTCATGTGATAGATATCGTGGATATGGGACAAGCAGTACGCCGGTACGCAATACCGAGACTTCGCTTCTGCGCAAGCACCAACGGTCGCATGTGGGTCAGGGATACAGCGAGCGTCGCTCTGCCTTTAGGAAGCCCGGAATCCGCGCCGTCAGATCACAAGATAAGCTCGTGACCTTTAAGCTACAAGGATAGAAGAAGCAGAAGAAAACCTAGATTATCTACCATCCCATCGCGAGGAAACCGGACCTTAATGTGATGCGATAATTTGCTTGCCTTAACGGTACATAGAGCTATGCAGTGTAGTACTATGTGTACCTTCAGAGCCACTCATACCCGATTGGTTTAGGGCCAGATGCCAGGCAAACACAGTCTCCAGGATGGAGTGAGATTGTCGTCTTACACTGTATAACAGTCTTTTTAGACCAGTGCCAAAACGCCACTGCTTTGCAGTCAGGTTCTTGAACTTGGATTAAGAATCCTAATCGCTCTCCTGTCTAGGAATAGACAACCTGACAATTTCCTTCCCACGCATTACAATAAGAATTTCTCTCCAAACAATTACTTAAAGCTCTAGTCGTCGCAGAGGATAACTAGCGGCGCTCTAGCTGCTACATCGAGCAGGGTGGATAGGAGTGAGGATGCAGCCGTTCACGTCTTCCCGTCTTCTTATTCTCCACGCGCGCTTTTTCATCATTATCGCTCGCTTTAACTTCACTCTTATATCCCTGTTTTCAACCTCCAATCCTTGGTCCTCCTACGCCTTGCTTCAAAGGGCATACGTTATGCAATTCGAAATCAAACGCAGTCACATGACTTCACTTTAGTCCAGTCGACAAGTCCATATGCAACCAAGAGGACAATCCCAGATCATTCACTTCTATGTGGAGCCTTCCTTCCTCGCTAAAAATGTCATGCCACAAGATGCCACCTTTCTAACAGCATGGCCAACAGGTAGCATTAGCTCGAACAGTACAGACCCTGTCAATTGATATTTCTATTTATTGAAAAACCGCCTATAGGAGTCGAGCTATGTGCTCACCCTGCGATCCCCTAAAAGTAACGCTAACAGCGCTTTCTCACAGGGTCTATCCGGAGATGACGCAGTTTCAAATGCCGATCAAGCCGGTGTAGATATTGCCCTGAATCCCCGGGCTGAAGCTGCTCTGGTTGTCTAGATCGCAATCGGTAGCTGGATGAGTGCCGTCAGACTGGATGACTCGTTCAAAGCCTCAAAGTCAAACGGGGCTAATAGGTGCCAGTTTGTTGTTGCTGTATATGCGCACACAAACCGTAGCATTGATTTGGTGAAAGATGGGTTATATCACCAATTGATCGAGCTCATTTGCCACAGAAAAGGTACAGGTATTGTTTTGCTTGCTGTTGATCTGAACACCTAAGTCGAGTAACTATCTACAAGTGAGATGCATCTAGGCGGCTAACATCGTGTATGCTCTCGTAATGATAACAGTGAGCGGTGGTCACACCAGTGTGAGAACGTTAGTCTCTTTCTCGTGAACACCAACTTCTAACACAGCAATTATAGAAGGGTTGAATGGCGCCCACCAGCTTCAAACCAGCCATGGACACAAATCCATCACATCACAATCAATTACCGTTGGAGGAACTGTCCAAAACTGTCGCTCGATTTGGAGTATGAGCGCGGACTCCGACGACTCACTCGTGTGTGCCGACCTGTGGTTGCGTCTCAACGGACGTTTGCAACGACGCTGTGAGCGCACAGACACCAGCTAACTGGCGAAGGCAGGTGCTCTAAATACGTATCAAATTACGCTGGTATCCGGGCTGAGTAAGTGCCTCCTGGACACAGTTGAAGATCACTGGTCGCATACCCACCAGAGATTAGTAGCAACAGTGATGTCTTCATGTGGTAAATCAAATTGCCAACCTGAACATTAGGTTTCTACGCAGTCTCTCTGAGCGATACTGCGTGCTAGCCTGAAAAGAGTCGGTGAAAATGGTAGTCTAACGGTGCATCGAGGGTAACTATCGGAGGTTATTTCGCTTGGTACGGGAAATGGGCGAGAGACCATGTGTTAGCGAGACTATACGCGACAAGAGTGGACAGCCAATCCACAGCTTGTCAAAACGCTTGGAGCATTGGGCGGGACATTTTGAGGAGCAGCTTAATCAGCCAGAAACCATCTTCCTTTTCGACCACTGATAGCCCTTCACCCTGGGAAGTCTCGTTGGATTTTCCCACACGAACGTGAGATCAGACTGTTGAAATAGAATAGGGCCGAAAGAGCAGATAGGCTCTAATCCTCTTTATATTCAGGAGACCTGACCTTGTAGACGGTTGGCACAAGGCTAGTGAAGTTAAGGGAGCAGGAGATCGTTAAGGCAGATTGGAGTCGCTCGGTTTTAGTCCTGATTTTCAAGGGAAGCTCACGTTGATAATGGGGCAATTACGAAGGAATGTAAAAAAATGAGGTTGCAAAGAGATCGCTTTTCGACAAATCACATCAAGCAAATGCGTTTAAAAGTCACAAGGTTATGACAGCTGAAGTGAAAGTGGTTGAGACTGAATTGGCTCACTTTATTCGAACGCAATTCAAATCGATCGGACCAGGTGGTAAAAGCCTGTGTTGTTAATGGAAGCTGACCTGGTACTTCACCCGAGAACTCATGAAACAAAATGGGTCAAACGAGAGAAGCCCCTTTCGGTAATCAGCAATATCACATGCGAATGGATTCTCGTTATGGCAAAAGCAGTGAAAGATTGCAGTAGCATAATTTACTAGCATGGCTCCGGTTGCGTCAACTTGACCGCTATCATTACGATTTAAGAGGCGTTTGCTAAGCACCTTGGGACATCGCTTCGGCACGGTATAGAAAACTTTGAACGCACTGCTGGTCGGAATTTTGTCGACTTTGAACTAGACGTTTATGCATGGAACTCCTGACCTTTCCGATAATACCTTTTCGCAGGGACCCGAAATAGTGCTCAGCTATCTGTGTCGACAGACGCCTTCTAGTATATCCGAGATACTTGGTACCACAGGAGTAAGTAGATTGATGTACACGTACAATTCAGAATTAGTCGTTAGTCTGTCACTAAGGCGCTGAGTGATAAACAGAGTGGTCTCCGCAAAAACGTGTGATTAGGCGACTGGGTAGGTTCTGGTCACTAAGGCGGAAAGCCTTCTATTAGGTAGGTCAAAAGCGATATCACCTTTAAAAAGAACCGTGAGAAACACATCATTTTTGAGACTGTGAAGATAGCCGATAGATTTGAATTTCGTTCGAATGCAGAAACCCAGTACAGACACAACCACTTTCACTCCGGCAGTCATTAGCTTGTGCTTATCACAGTATGTCTGATGTGACATCCCGAAAAGAGGTCTTTGCAAACGCATATTCTTAAGTTCCAATGGGCAATATCTTCGAATCACAGAGGAAACCGTCTGATCTCAATCGTCTCTAAATTACTCGTCTCTTTCGCTCTGTATGGACTGAACGGCAACCGTGAAAACCAAGTAGGGGAGAAAGCCGAGCTTCGCTGAAATCAAAGAAGCAATGATTACACCTTCACATTACGTCAGCTGCTGGGGCATAGTCATATTTCTTGACGACCCACCGTAATCGTTCTTCGACTTCAAAGATGCCTTCGACTCGACGGGTCTAAGTGCGCTTTGGGACTGTCTGCTGAGGAAAGGTATGCCCGAGTAATATGTACATGTTAAAAGACCGCTGTAGGTACACTGTTGAAGCTTATGACAAACTGTCAATGCTCTCCAGCGATGCGACACAAGGATACACGCTGCCAACTTTCTTCCTTAACTTCTCAATCGACGAAGCCATAGAGAATGCGTTCACTGGACACTAACTACAAGGCCTGGAGCTGCTCTTGGGTTATCTACTTCTTGTCTTGGAGGGCGCGGACGACATTGCACCAATCTGTGACAGCTCCCAAAGGTGTTAAGCAGCACTGAGTTAATTAGTATCGGCTGACAATCGTCTCGGGTCATGCTTTGCTCCCTCGAAATGCAAAATTATTCTTCAAGCAGGGACTCACTCCTGCGCCGACTCTTGATGGTGATCAGTTAGAAGTCATCGACAAATTCAAGTAACTGGGCAGTCAGGTTGACGCTCGTGGAATCGTAGACAAAGTCCCGAATCGTATAGCAAAAAGTTGATGTGCTTTTGCCAATGTTCGCAACTCAGGGCGCCGGCGCAAAATCACTCTCACCCTGGAGAGCAGCACCATTATATCAGGCACCAGGTTCCGATGGCTGGGTCACGTGTTGCGCATGCCATCACACCGACTTCCGCGTCGTCCGTTGTTTGCGCGACCGGGGTGTGGATGGAAGAGAAAGGAAGCTAAACGATGACTTAGTC